TTCTTATTGAATCTAACGGTGTTCGACTATCGCGGAAAAGGTTCAAAAACGACCTCTCTCCAGACATTAAACTAAATTCTTGCCCATCTTCCCTTGGTCAAAAGAAACATCCGACGGGATGCCAGTTGGTATGCATTAACGATACGCATGTTTTGAATTGAAAACATACTTTAGTACGCTCTGGAACGTAAAGTATCATCCATTTTTATTAGAACGTTAAGGATGATGTTTTCACTCAGTTTTGTTGGGAGGTCCAAATCCGCGGAGGGGGGTCTATATCTGCTAGCGGATTTGGACCGGGGGGTCCAAATCTAGGGGGGTCCAAATCCGCTGGGACACCGGCCCTTAGCCGGTCGGCCCCCTTTACACCAATTGGAAAGGATAGTATTTCGAAAATATTTTCCAAACGGAATAACAAGGGCCTATAAAAGATTTCTAAGGTAAGGAACTATTGATGTCAAAGCAAATATAAAAAGCTAAGTGCAGTTGCGACTCAAACAATGCTTTCCTTGTGTCATTGCAATGTTGACTTTGTTCCTTTCAATAGGGCGCCATTTATAATTTTAGCGAAGTTTGGTTGGTTGGTATATCAAAACAGCAGAAGATACCAGAAAAACGAAACGATGAATTTGAAGACCCACCTTATAAGCCCTCGTGATAGTATTGCTGGAGATTTTGAGAAACTACCACATGCAATTTTGCCACACTACATTAGGCCGGGTTTGGCATGAATTAAAAATGGCGAACACGTCCACTGTTAATTAACCCGTGGTTTCGTCAGGAAGGACACGATACAAAAAAAATCACTATATCTTGGTAATGGAAGGCCACATGTATATATTTATCGCTAGAGACTTTTGTACCATTTAAACGCTCCTACGTATTTTTCAAATCTACACGCGCCTTTGTATTTATCTCAAGTAAAAACCACAACCTCTCGCTGCGTTAATTAACGTACAACAGCAATTTCTCTGATTTCAGCTAATAACTTTATATGTTACGAGAAGTCATCAGAGGACGCCATGTAACTTTCCCAGTCTCCAATGCTGTTAAGCTGACTATTGTTAATAGAATCCCTAGAGGGTAATCCCAATACAATACACGGCGATACCCAAAACACTGCGACAGCGGAAGTTTTAATGTTAATTAAGGGAAAGTCCCGACTGTAATTCAATATGTTTCTCTTTTTACTTTCAGAAGCATCAGCCACGAAGTCTACACCTTGGTGAGTACGACTAATAATCTTTCATACCACGCAGTTTTCCATCACTGAAATGACTGAGTAACTCAAGAGAAAAACGCTCTGTTACGAATATCCAAGCTTTTTCGATCTTCATATTTGCACTTTGTAGTTATATGTCACTCGAATAACATGTGACCAAAGAATCGCTATTGCAGTGAAATGAATTTAAAGCACCTTTTTCAAACCTTTGTAGCATTATAACCCCTATTCTATTCACTGAGTAATTCTGGAGATGTAAGGCTCTCATGGGAAAGCCCACTTACTCATTTTCGATCTTTATGCTTGCGCACTATTTAGTTATGTCACGTTATGAGAGAATCGTTCCAAAACGACTTTTGTACCATTGCCAAAAAGGTATAATCATTCTTGACATATCGAGTTTAACGCTTCTACGTATTTTCAAATCTACACGCGCCTTTGTATTTATCTCTAGCAAACACCACAACCTCTCGCTGCGTCAATTAACGTACAACAGCAATTTCTCTGATTTCAGCCAATAATTTTATATGTTACGACAAGTCATCAGAGGACGCCATGTAACTTTCCCAGTCTCCAATGCTGTTGAGCTGTCTGTTGTTTAGAGTATCCCTAGAGGGTAAACTCAATACAATACACGGTGATACCCAAAACACTGCGACAGCGGAAGTTTTAATGTTAATTAAGGGAAAGTCCCGACTGTAATTCAATATGTTTCTCTTTTCACTTTCAGAATCATTAGCCACGAAGTCTTCACCTTGGTGAGTACGATTAATAATCTTTCATACCACGCAGTTTTCCATCACTGAAATGACTGAGTAACTCAAGAGAAAAACGCTCTGTTACGAATATCCAAGCTTTTTCGATCTTCATATTTGCACTTTGTAGTTATATGTCACTCGAATAACATGTGGCAAAAGAATCGCCATTGCAGTGAAATATATTTAGAGCACCTTTTTCAAACCTTTGTAGCATTATAACCCCTATTCTTTTCACGGAGTAATTCTGGAGATGTAAGGCTCTCATGGGAAAGCCCACTTACTCATTTTCGATCTTTATGCTTGCGCACTATGTAGTTATGTCACGATATGAGAGAATCGTTATAAAATGACTTTTGTACCATTGCCAAAAAGGTATAATCATTCTTGACATATCGAGTTATACGCTCCTACGTATTTTCAAATCTTCACGCGCCTTTGTATTTATCTCAAGTAAAAACCACAACCTCTCGCTGCGTTAATTAACGTACAACAGCAATTTCTCTGATTTCAGCTAATAACTTTATATGTTACGAGAAGTCATCAGAGGACGCCATGTAACTTTCCCAGTCTCCAATGCTGTTAAGCTGACTGTTGTTAAGAGAATCCCTAGAGGGTAATCCCAATACAATACACGGCGATACCCAAAACACTGCGACAGCGGAAGTTTTAATGTTAATTAAGGGAAAGTCCCGACTGTAATTCAATATGTTTCTCTTTTTACTTTCAGAAGCATCAGCCACGAAGTCTACACCTTGGTGAGTACGACTAATAATCTTTCATACCACGCAGTTTTCCATCACTGAAATGACTGAGTAACTCAAGAGAAAAACGCTCTGTTACGAATATCCAAGCTTTTTCGATCTTCATATTTGCACTTTGTAGTTATATGTCACTCGAATAACATGTGACCAAAGAATCGCTATTGCAGTGAAATGAATTTAAAGCACTTTTTTCAAACCTTTGTAGCATTATAACCCCTATTCTATTCACTGAGTAATTCTGGAGATGTAAGGCTCTCATGGGAAAGCCCACTTACTCATTTTCGATCTTTATGCTTGCGCACTATGTAGTTATGTCACGTTATGAGAGAATCGTTCCAAAACGACTTTTGTACCATTGCCAAAAAGGTATAATCATTCTTGACATATCGAGTCTAACGCTTCTACGTATTTTCAAATCTACACGCGCCTTTGTATTTATCTCTAGCAAACACCACAACCTCTCGCTGCGTCAATTAACGTACAACAGCAATTTCTCTGATTTCAGCCAATAATTTTATATGTTACGACAAGTCATCAGAGGACGCCATGTAACTTTCCCAGTCTCCAATGCTGTTGAGCTGTCTGTTGTTTAGAGTATCCCTAGAGGGTAAACTCAATACAATACACGGTGATACCCAAAACACTGCGACAGCGGAAGTCTTAATGTTAATTAAGGGAAAGTTTCGACTGTAATTCAATATGTTTCTCTTTTCACTTTCAGAATCATTAGCCACGAAGTCTACACCTTGGTGAGTACGATTAATAATCTTTCATACCACGCAGTTTTCCATCACTGAAATGACTGAGTAACTCAAGAGAAAAACGCTCTGTTACGAATATCCAAGCTTTTTCGATCTTCATATTTGCACTTTGTAGTTATATGTCACTCGAATAACATGTGGCAAAAGAATCGCCATTGCAGTGAAATATATTTAGAGCACCTTTTTCAAACCTTTGTAGCATTATAACCCCTATTCTTTTCACTGAGTAATTCTGGAGATGTAAGGCTCTCATGGGAAAGCCCACTTACTCATTTTCGATCTTTATGCTTGCGCACTATGTAGTTATGTCACGATATGAGAGAATCGTTATAAAATGACTTTTGTACCATTGCCAAAAAGGTATAATCATTCTTGACATATCGAGTTTAACGCTTCTACGTATTTTCAAATCTTCACGCGCCTTTGTATTTATCTCAAGTAAAAACCACAACCTCTCGCTGCGTTAATTAACGTACAACAGCAATTTCTCTGATTTCAGCTAATAACTTTATATGTTACGACAAGTCATCAGAGGACGCCATGTAACTTTCCCAGTCTCCAATGCTGTTAAGCTGACTGTTGTTAAGAGAATCCCTAGAGGGTAATCCCAATACAATACACGGCGATACCCAAAACACTGCGACAGCGGAAGTTTTAATGTTAATTAAGGGAAAGTTTCGACTGTAATTCAATATGTTTCTCTTTTCACTTTCAGAATCATTAGCCACGAAGTCTTCACCTTGGTGAGTACGATTAATAATCTTTCATACCACGCAGTTTTCCATCACTGAAATGACTGAGTAACTCAAGAGAAAAACGCTCTGTTACGAATATCCAAGCTTTTTCGATCTTCATATTTGCACTTTGTAGTTATATGTCACTCGAATAACATGTGGCAAAAGAATCGCCATTGCAGTGAAATATATTTAGAGCACCTTTTTCAAACCTTTGTAGCATTATAACCCCTATTCTATTCACTGAGTAATTCTGGAGATGTAAGGCTCTCATGGGAAAGCCCACTTACTCATTTTCGATCTTTATGCTTGCGCACTATGTAGTTATGTCACGTTATGAGAGAATCGTTCCAAAACGACTTTTGTACCATTGCCAAAAAGGTATAATCATTCTTGACATATCGAGTTTAACGCTTCTACGTATTTTCAAATCTACACGCGCCTTTGTATTTATCTCTAGCAAACACCACAACCTCTCGCTGCGTCAATTAACGTACAACAGCAATTTCTCTGATTTCAGCCAATAATTTTATATATTACGACAAGTCATCAGAGGACGCCATGTAACTTTCCCAGTCTCCAATGCTGTTGAGCTGTCTGTTGTTTAGAGTATCCCTAGAGGGTAAACTCAATACAATACACGGTGATACCCAAAACACTGCGACAGCGGAAGTCTTAATGTTAATTAAGGGAAAGTCCCGACTGTAATTCAATATGTTTCTCTTTTCACTTTCAGAAGCATCAGCCACGAAGTCTACACCTTGGTGAGTACGATTAGTTATCTTTCATATCACCCAGTTTTTCATCGCTGAAATGACTGAGTATAACTCAAGAGAAATAATGCTCTGTTGGGAAAGTCCAAGCTATTTCGATCTTTATGTTTGCACTCTGTAGTTACGTATCATTCGAATAACACGCGGTTAAAGAATAGCCACTACAGTAAAATAAATTTAGAGCGCTGTTTTTTGAACTTTTGTAGCATTATAACCCCTATTCTTTTCACTGAGTAATTCTGGAGATGTAAGGCTCTCATGGGAAAGCCCACTTACTCATTTTCGATCTTTATGCTTGCGCACTATATAGTTATGTCACGATATGAGAGAATCGTTATAAAATGACTTTTGTACCATTGCCAAAAAGGTATAATCATTCTTGACATATCGAGTTAAACGCTCCTACGTATTTTCAAATCTTCACGCGCCTTTGTATTTATCTCAAGTAAAAACCACAACCTCTCGCTGCGTTAATTAACGTACAACAGCAATTTCTCTGATTTCAGCTAATAACTTTATATGTTACGACAAGTCATCAGAGGACGCCATGTAACTTTCCCAGTCTCCAATGCTGTTAAGCTGACTGTTGTAAAGAGAATCCCTAGAGGGTAATCCCAATACAATACACGGCGATACCCAAAACACTGCGACAGCGGAAGTTTTAATGTTAATTAAGGGAAAGTCCCGACTGTAATTCAATATGTTTCTCTTTTTACTTTCAGAAGCATCAGCCACGAAGTCTTCACCTTGGTGAGTACGACTAATAATCTTTCATACCACGCAGTTTTCCATCACTGAAATGACTGAGTAACTCAAGAGAAAAACGCTCTGTTACGAATATCCAAGCTTTTTCGATCTTCATATTTGCACTTTGTAGTTATATGTCACTCGAATAACATGTGACCAAAGAATCGCCATTGCAGTGAAATGAATTTAAAGCACCTTTTTCAAACCTTTGTAGCATTATAACCCCTATTCTATTCACTGAGTAATTCTGGAGATGTAAGGCTCTCATGGGAAAGCCCACTTACTCATTTTCGATCTTTATGCTTGCGCACTATTTAGTTATGTCACGTTATGAGAGAATCGTTCCAAAACGACTTTTGTACCATTGCCAAAAAGGTATAATCATTCTTGACATATCGAGTCTAACGCTTCTACGTATTTTCAAATCTACACGCGCCTTTGTATTTATCTCTAGCAAACACCACAACCTCTCGCTGCGTCAATTAACGTACAACAGCAATTTCTCTGATTTCAGCCAATAATTTTATATATTACGACAAGTCATCAGAGGACGCCATGTAACTTTCCCAGTCTCCAATGCTGTTGAGCTGTCTGTTGTTTAGAGTATCCCTAGAGGGTAAACTCAATACAATACACGGTGATACCCAAAACACTGCGACAGCGGAAGTCTTAATGTTAATTAAGGGAAAGTCCCGACTGTAATTCAATATGTTTCTCTTTTCACTTTCAGAAGCATCAGCCACGAAGTCTACACCTTGGTGAGTACGATTAGTTATCTTTCATATCACCCAGTTTTTCATCGCTGAAATGACTGAGTATAACTCAAGAGAAATAATGCTCTGTTGGGAAAGTCCAAGCTATTTCGATCTTTATGTTTGCACTCTGTAGTTACGTATCATTCGAATAACACGCGGTTAAAGAATAGCCACTACAGTAAAATAAATTTAGAGCGCTGTTTTTTGAACTTTTGTAGCGTTATACCACCTATTCTAACTAGTGAGGAACTCTGGAGATATAAGGCTATCATGGGAAAGCCCACTTACTCGTTTTTGGATCCTTGTGCTTGCACTTTGTAGTTGTGTCACGCTATGAAAGAATCGTTCTTAAACAACCTATTTACCTTTGTGTCTTTTTGCCATCAACTCCATCCTCATCAGCTAAGGTTTAAAATTATCGCTCAATTTGAGGAAATGTTGATCAAAAAATAATAGCAGACTTAGCTATATTATGACCGTCTGTCCATGATCTCATAGGATATTAGGATATTCGTGGTGATTAATTACGTGGTTTTCTAGTGGCTTTTCTGCATTAGTAATCATCTGGACTTCGTTTCATCAGGATTCAGCGAACAAATAAATGACCTGGCTAGATATAAATTCAGTTTTTGTTTTCCACCAGTAAAGTGGCGTTTTATAGTCGAGATATTCTTCACTGAAATCTATACATACTTGCGGCTTTTACAGTACACAAACTTTAAGTGGCCGAAATATGCATCAGCAAAAAAAAGTCGATCACTCTCTGATATTTCACGCCAATGGAGGTTTTTTTTCCTTTGACAATCTTTAATTTACTTGAATGCAATGTAAGTGTGTGATAGTGTGGTTAATCACTACTTTTACTATTCTGTCGGAAGAAAGTTTCTTTCCACGCAATTGAATAAATACGATCATCTTTTTTGCGTTTCGCAATAAAACCAAACAACTTTCGTGCCAATTTCTATGGATACCTGTTTTCTCGTCAGCTAAATTAGTTGACTTACTATTCCCAATCACTGTGATCATACATATTGAAATCAGTCTTTTTGTGGACCACTACATGTAGGCTTACTTTTCAGTTGGAAGTAACCGTCAGGTTTCCCCAGCATTTACATTTTGAGGAGAGTCATTCGCTCTTGATTGCAGAGCGCAGTTATTGATAAAACCGAATGACTAAATTGAGTTCTACAAAGTACCTTTAGTAGAAATGTTTGAAACGCGAAATTATTTTCAAGGCAAGGGAGTATTGATGAATAAATAACAACGGATATCAGGTATTTGTAAGTTTTAATCAACCTCAAATTTATCAGGCTTATTTACTTTGTAACAGGTTGCGTGGGAGAAATTATGTTACCGCAACCAGACTTGCCGCTTCGCTTTCTAAGACCTGTAAGCATTCGCGCAAATGCCGCAAATTTAACAGGCAAGTCCGAATATTTAAGGGAGAGATTTAATACTCATCAAGTGACAATGGGGATTAAAAAGTTAATCTAGCAACAAAATTTGAAACAAAGGAAAAATATCGCACCTAACTCAAAGGAATCCCGCTCGTGGTTTCTTCGGAAGGTAATCGAAAATGACATGAACAATAGCCTGAATATATGAATACTTGATAACCTCAAAATTTGGGGTACACACTTAAATCGGCGTGAAGTTGTACTGTGTCGTGGTGTTCCTGAATCCGAGTAAAAATTCGTTGAAAGTTTGAAGATATTGTTTGTGTTATTCGTGTTACATCTGACTGAGGTAATATGTAACAATTATTCGCCGAAGGCGAAGCGAAGTTAGTTCAACAATCTCCGAGACGAAGTCGAGGGGATTATTCTCCTAGATATGTATTGAGCCTGGGGTAAATAATTGTTTTGGTCGATTTTGCTTAGGTGCTTTTAATTTCTTTGAAACCATTCTATGACAATTGTTTTGATTACTCTTACCGAGATAAGCAGCCAGTCTCCCCTAGAGTTCAACAGCTTTATCCATTCAATCAGCAAAAACTTCATTTCTTCCTTTTGAACAGTGTTACGTCAAACTTAATAGCATCTTTTGCATGCTTCAGGATTTCATTTTCTTCTATCACGTATGTCACCTCCTCGGTAACACTGACAAAACGCGATGGGAGCTGAAGATCTTCGTTGATGTTCTTATGTTCGGGGGTGGAAGCTGAATTATAGGACCTCGATATTCATTATTCTTTTTTTTCCGATTTATTCATTATTCTTTTTTAAATGTTGTTTGGTATTCATTCTTCACTATTCCTTGAACGTAAGCAAGATTTTTCCTTGTTAGACTCGATTTTAGGTTTAATTCATGATTATACATTTGATTATAAGTATCACACTGTCGCGCCATACTACACGCTACTGCCACACCGTTCTACACACGGCGATCTTTTTGTCAAACTAAGCTGATGTTGTATTTTTCAAGCTAATATTTAAGTTAAAGGAAAACTGATATTCTCGATGGAACTATGTAGCTCCAAATGTAACATCAGTGGCTGTTTTTGCAAACTTGAGGTCGAGCCCAAACCTGCAAGAACGTAGATTGGAAAATCTGTCAAAAGACGACAGAAAAACAACTATGATACCTATCTTGACAGGTAAATTGGACTAAGTCACGCAATTCAAACCAATGTAACAATCACGAGCAGGTTACAAAATCAACTGAAACATTTCAACAACAGCTCGAAACGTCAAAAGAACATCAGAAAAAGGTAAAAGCGGACCATTATCTAAGATAAACTTAACAAACATCAGACCAATGGTAGTTGCGTTGATACCAATTAGTACGAACGTGAAATTTTCAAAGCTTTAGAATCTCCTTGTTCATTAAGTTCCCGTGATTTCGGCAATGTGATTGCTACATTTCCAGTTTCATTTTAAGAGTTCATAATTACGATAAGAAATACGTAACCCAACCCGTTTATCCCCTCTAACCATGTAGAACTAGCAAAGAGTATCTTCAACATGTCTGGTTAAAAATTCAAAACAGCTGTGAGCGTGTTGCTGAACGCCCAGACTTAGTGCTAACAAACTCGCGTTTGAGAGGTTCATTAGACGAATCCTCATCGGACACTTCTTCATTTTCGACGAGTTCGTCGTCAGAGTCAAAATGACCTCGATACATTCTCTTCTCAATGTCACTATCGAATATTTAACACGCGCAATATTCAAGAAACAATTGACAGCTTTGCACGTGGTCCATACGTTTCATCTTTTGAACCGATATGTGTACGTTCAACGTTCAGGGGTGTTCACACACTGATTTTCACATATGTGCCTTATATTGTTATTGGCTTACATGAGGAACCGGCGAATTTTTATAGGGAAAAGCAAAGCGTTGCTTTCGTGACTGGCCATTTGTTTACTTTTCTGGTGGTTTTATTTCTCATCTGTTTGGTGACTACGCAAATATTAATATGTGATATTATATATCTTTATCGCACGTAGCTCTGCCAAAACCTTTGCCTGAGTAACGGTCTTTTTCGTTTCC